TTAAGAATATTTATGTACCCTTCCAAATGGCTGGTTATTTTTTTCTGAGGAGAGGACGTCACATAGGAGAGTATAACTTTTAACACATAATCAAGGAAGAATGGGGCGCACTGTCAGAGTAGTGAGAATAGAAAATTTGTTAACTGGGGTGGTGCCAGACTATTTTGGTTCCATGTCTCACTTTCATTTTTTTCTTATATGTAACCGAAAAAAATTAGATATGATTAATCACAAACTTAACATTCTTCATTACCATAAATGACATTAATTCGTAATGAAGTTTTATTTCATTACTTTCACTCTTATACCCAGGTGCCACAACCAAAGTTAAACTCACTTTCAATTCAATATGGCCGACTTGTGAATAAGGCCACTGACGCAGGGACTCTGGCTTGTCCTTAGCTAGGTTCCTTGGATGCGGGGCAGTGGGAATGATGTGCGTGCAGGAAAGACCCTGAATATAGTATTTTTTTAAGGGGACATCTGTTGACCTTTTTCAATGAAGAATTATCACTTGACAACTTAATAAAATCATTTTAAAGGCACGAGTTTCAGACCAAATTGGCTCTATGTCCAAGTTTAATGCCATAATCGTCATTGGTTTACAAATGTTGTGGAAGCTGCCAATCCGGAGGAAATATGACCAAGGGAAGACTGTAACATAAATCTCGAAACCTTTAAAACTATGTGTGGCTGCATTCCATTTTTTTCTTGCTTCAAACCTTGAATAAAAAACAAATCCTTTACACGTACATCTTTCAAAATAAATTAAAATGATTTGGGGTCTGAGAATTCTATCTAAAATTTTCTATCAAGAGGAATTTCTGTAAACACCAATAACATTTGGAACTGGGGTAAACATCTATAATCTGTTATTGAATGGATTTAGCTTGTGAATTTTTTATGACGTTAAATGCAGAAAAAGGACAAATAACCAAGAAAACATGTAACAGACAAAAATTTTAATCATTCCACAACATTGATGTTTGTTGCTTTCTGCACTGACAGAGTCAATGGTGTTTATTTTAAAGGCACTACGAACTGTGCAATTATTTTGCCACTATGCTCTTAATTAAATGTACCTTTGTAACGTCTGTGTTTCAGTTCACCTTCTTCGTATTTGTCTTATTTTAAAAGGTATTTTAGACCTCTTTGGTTTTCATGCAAATGCAAGTCCATATTCATAATCAAACTCTGATGTTATCCTCGGGAGAAATCTCTGAGTTGCATTCATTTGTCCAGAAATCTATTGAAATGTTTAATATTTTGCTATGACAGTCCTAATTTACTTTTCTTTGATGATTTATTGTTGTGTGAGTACATGGCAACAATTCCAAGAGCGAACCTTTCTGAAAATGTTTCCAACAAGAAAACTTTCGAGTTCACATTTTGTGCAGAAAAACATGCGCCCTTAGCCACAGCGCCCTCAGCTGTCCAAAAATGCTTGGAGGATTTCAAAAGTTTGAAAAAGGTACAGATGTTTCAGTTCTGTTCATAATGGGTTATTTTTCGCACACAAGATTTTGGCTCTACCTTTCAGGTCCGTTGTAGTCATTCTATTTCCTTTCGGCATTGAAAACTACGTTTTCACCATTCTTACGTTTAATTTCCGCTGTCTGTTTCCTTTCATTTCGTGCAATCAAATCGCTTTCAAATCAATTCGCCTGTCTCTTGTTATATGAAATAGATTCGTTTTTATCTTTATCGTGTTAATAGTAGCTGCTCTTTTTGTTTTATACAATTTTGTTTATAACTGTATGGACCTCTTCAAATAACAAAAAATAAAATCGTTTGTAAAACAAAAGTAAGGGCATCTTGTTCTTAGAAAATCAGCTTTAGGCCTAGACAGGCAAATACGAGTCAGAAAGCGCATACCACAGGAACAGGTTCTTCTCAAGGCTTTGAGGAATTTGGATGAACCTAGCAACCAGTTGTATTTCAATGAACGCATAAAGCTAAGAATGCTCAAATAATGAAAACAAATGGCTTCTTTTGACATTGGAATGCTCGTATGAAGGATAGGAACCTTCATTTGAAAATAAATTGAAGTGAGCCTGATGTAAAATTGAACAATTTTTTGTGCTTAAATTGGCCGAGAAAACCTAAGCAAAACGGACTGGACACGGTTTAATATGCGCCTATTGACGATAAATGAAAACTAACGACACATTCATTCACTTTACCTGGACCGTTGTGTTTATTACCAACATAATACATGATCATGAATACATATTAGTAACTATCTAATTAGATGTGCAAATATTTTAAAATCAACCCAATTTTTTAGGCCATTTGAGAAATAAGAAAATTATATGAAATACACACCTAAATTTTATAATACTGCCCTTTTGAAAAAATAAAAACATGCGTTCGAACTTCCATGGGATGTCTGCAGCGAGAACGCCCAAACAAAACGAATAATTTTCAAGAACAATGAGTAAACATTTAATAGTGTTCATAATATCTAGATATCGTGTACAGCGGTAACTGACCAAGTGGGAACACTCGAAAACGAAAAATTATACGAAAAGGTTTACATCAAGACAGCACGAACCAATGTACAGGCTGTGTTTGTGTCTGTTTTGTTTGTGTTGGGTTTACAACCGTGTGTCTTCTTCATTATAAGCACCGTTCTGCGTGGAATCTTGGCTTTGAATGGAGGGGACACAAAGAAGGAAACATCCTCTGCTGTGTGAGCCGAGGACAGAATCACCGGCCGATTACCCACAGTTCCGCTGACCCAGTGCAAGCAATGGAGGATAACATAAAACAACCAATCAGATTCTTGGGATGTATACCCTTCACTTGCGGCGGAAAGGTGTTTGTTGCGGCGGGTAAGGTGTTTGTTGGTTAAGCGGATAATCAAACCTTGAGGGAGCCAACAGGAAAGATGGAGTTTTCAAATTGTAATTCAATAATTTCGTTTGAATGGGTAAAGTCCGATTTACAACTCCAATCCGACATCTGATGTACCATAATAGAGCTACTCACAAAATATAAGTACGCAGATTCATGATGTTTACCATGATGTAACTAATCTGCAAAATTGTTTTCAAAACAAGCGCGTTATTGTCTTTGTTCATTTAACAGATGAATATCATGTTTGAAGGTTTCTCACCCTAATCTACCAACTGCTAACCAATTCACCGTAGAGTTAGGTAAGGATCAATAGATTTCTTAATTTGTTTCTACATATTCAACACGACCCCGAAGTGGAAACGATCCAGACTACATTCTGCATTTTTTTTATTTTTCTTTTCTTAAAAAAAGACGTCATGATACCTCGCTTTAACAGTGATGTCACCAAGATAGCGACGATGAAAGCGAAGCTATAGCTTGAATAATATGATAAAGGTATTACATTATATACAAAGTGTCAGTCGGACAAGTTCAATCTACACAAGGTTCTTGTCTATGATAGCAAACTATACACAACGGTTGTTTGGTTTTTGTACATCAGGTCCGGTACGTCCAGTTACAAAAGAGGGCCGTATTCGGCCTTGTCTGCCCGAAGGCGGTTCAAACCAATTGAAACCACCAGGAGCCACTTTTGGACACGTCAACCTTGCCATGGTTCGGTTTGCTGTAAGTTGTAACGCTGTGTTGGCCTCAACCGAAGAAAAAACACAACAATTTTCACATTTTTAGCACCACAGTGAACGAAGCTAAATTCACAAAGCCGATTCAAGTCGTACGTCACTACCCATTACTCCTATTCTAGAATCTTGTTACTTGACGATGGAAATGGACGAAACCAATACAGCAATTCGGGGAGATAGTGTTCTTCCATCTCGCCCCACGCTTATATGGGCGAATCTGTTGATCCTTGGTTCGTCCTTTCTCAAAACAATGATTATAAACAATTAGTAAAATGTTTATACTTGAGTTCTCAAATGTGACCGTTTCATTAGACACGTACACAATTTCACAATAATTATCCGATTTGTAGGAGCCATCGCGACACCCGCAAGTCACCTCAATGGAATTCTTTGAGGAAAAGATCGTCCTGATCTTAAACCCGTGAGCTGAATTCAGCCCAAAACGTAATGGTCAGAATAATACGCTTTCTTGCACTCTTTATACGAATCTGTCTTCTATAAATACTTCAGTTCAAGAAGTGATTGTGGAAATTAACAAATTATTCCAAGGATTCAGCATTTCAACGAGAACCCCAGAACCCTTCCGATGGTCCATTGATTACCGTGCAGTCACATGCGTATGCTTGTACACGGAAAGATTGATCAGGTTTACGTCAGTCATTAAGTCAGTAGCTTACAATCCATGGAAGAGGCCAGACCGACCGCACTGCGGCCTTTTAGCCTTAACATCCATTTCAGCCGAAGCAATAATATCGGCCTGCAAATAGCCAATGCGGGTTCCCTCCGACAATTACCCGGTAATGACCCGTAAAGTAAACCAGAACATCAAATTATGAACCCGCAGAGACTCGGTAAAAGCATCTGCCGACCTGAATATTCCTAAAATTAAGACAGGTTTAGACAGAGTCGTCCTTCAAACGTTACAAATTAGATTAAAAATAAACGACAAAAAGGTATAAATAAATACAGATTTCAAAAACATCGAACAGGAAAGAAGCTGAACGTATTTTTAAAAAGTTGAAGGACACACTTTAAAGTGACAACGTGTGGGACCAGATTTAACAGCATAAAAAGCCGACATTGGCAAAAATTACCAATAACCGATTTACTTCAGAGGTAAATATTACATACAGCAATTATAATTCTTACTTTTTTTTACAAACGTATAAAAATAATACACACAAGCCGAACAAATTCTCATAAGACCATTGCTTCTAAACTCTAATCTACACTATTTAAAAACGAGAATGAGGACGAAGAAAAATTAAAATAATCAAGTGCATGAGGCTACGTGCAATACGGCTGTTTCACAATAGTGCGCCACCAAGGGTTTGCAACGCGTTGGCCGATCACAATGCGCGAAATTTGTCGACCCAATGCGCGTTTGGAAAAGGTCGACAAATTTCGAGCGTTATGATTGGCCAACGTGTTGTGGACTCTTGGTGGTGCACTATTGTGAATCGCCTGTATTGGTGGATGAATACCCAACTGGAAAGAAACACTACGAATATTGCAGAGTAAATCTGTTGTGATTAAAGGTTAAAGATGTTTGCAAACTGGAGAGGGAATTTATTGGTGGTCTGCTTCAATTTCAAATAACAATGCGTTAGAATTACTCAAATATACGGCAGAAGAAATTACGAATGCATCTACATTAAACCTACACGATGTATCGAGTTCTACGAGTATCCGTAGATTTTAGTAAAATTACAAAGGAAAACCAAAAACACTATGTTACAATCAGATTATTATCGATTAACATTGCCTCTTCCCCTCACCAGATTGCCTCAAGATAGTCTGGCTACTGGTGTTCATATACAGATCTTGCACCCAAAACGTCACACGACATCAGTAACTTGTGATCACACTGAAACACAATCTTAATTCGTATTTACATTATTGTTAACATTTATATTACAGGCTGACCGCCAAATCATAACCTCAACAGATAAAAGTCTTGTCTACAACCAAACGGCAGCTCCTCCCCCGTCTTCACTGCGTCTGTTCTAACTCTACATTTTTCCGCAAATGATTGTGTAGTGAGATTAACAGGGCTCCTTAAACACTTTTGTTGCTTACAGTTAAAAACAGCGCTCAGGAAACAAGATTTAATTGTGGGATGGAACAAAATCCCCAATCATTTTAAGTATATACGACCCAGAATTTAAAAAAAGTGTTTTTTTTTCATCCACGATTCATCTGTATCACAAGATAGCCGTTTGTCTCCTTTGTGAATATAAGACCCAACGCCACATCATTTTACAATCAGTAATTGTAACTGAAAGTTGTTATAACGATCTCAACCGGTACTCCCACCTACAAATTGTTGGTCCCACAGCTGAAACTCGACGCCAGGACAAATACAACTGTCGCTAAACAAAACATCCAACCACTGTTCGAGCAGATTTTGTCATCATATTTGAAGAAGTAATGGAAGATTCGGGGAAAATTCGAGCGGAAAAATTGGTTCGCATATAATATATATAATATATAGAAATAATTTTTTTTCGTGACGTCAGAAAATTCTTGATATTAAAAATACAAGTAAAATACACAATGTCAGCTTTCATCTGTTTAAAACAAGCCTAACGGTGTTGATCGGGGAACTCCAACGATTCTCTCTTTTAACTTTGAAAGATTTTAAAATGTAGTTAAAGTCCAGCCATAGTCATAAAGCGCATTTTATGTACAGCCATCTAAATTAACGGAGTTGAATTTCTGCGAGAAGAAATACATGTACATGTATATAGACGAAGGTCTTTGGCCCGGTTCTACATATATACACCGATATCCAGGAAACAGATTGGCTTGGGTGTTCCTGATCAACACTAGGACAATGATACCCATTATAAATTATGTTTCCACCGAGGAATTAACTCCTGCTAAATATAAAGCTCACGCAGTCGGAAGAAGGGCTCTGTATAACACAGATTGCCGACTTCCTCCTTTCCCTGCGCGGACGATTTCTATCCTCGGAATTAAACGATCTACAAGCACTACAAAAATGCCACAACGCGGTCACTTTGAACTTTTTGAGAACTGAACCAGTATCTGAAAAAAATGACTCCTTTTCCGCTTGCTGCTTATCAGTCGGCAACCGATATCTATAAACCGATACAAGTTCGACACATCGATTTCAACCAAGTGCTACGATAGCCGTTAACAGTCGCGGTTATTTTCAATATTCATTTTGCTTGTTCGTCAGTCTTCAGTTCTCATTTGAGCGGTCAGTTTAATTAGTCAATTGTCTGTTGTTACATATAAGATTTTTTGTGGGGGGGGGGAGATTTCAGGCGGCCACAATTCCGTACACTGTGTTGGTAAATTCATCCATGTGACTGATGGCGAATAATGTCAGTCATTGGTACATTGGCGGTCAGCATGTCGCCCGTTCGTCGTCGTTTCTGGTTCTCCGTCCAGGCGTCATGTCTGTGAAGGTCACGTGCTCAGCGTCATGCGCCATCTGACTGCTAATAGGAAGCCCCGAAGTTGGTCTTGTCTCTAGTCTATTTCGAATCTCTTCTCTGTCCGTCAGTTTTCTAAGAATTAACTCTCAGTCATTAATGTCTGGCCGTTCGATTCTGTCGTGTCGTCAGGCAAGTGGTGCCATGTCTCACTTGTTGCGAACGCTTTACAACGCTCTCGTTATCCAGATATGGTTCATCAGTCTGATTGAGGTTTGGGTTGAGGTTGTCTGTCGTTGCTCCTCGTCAGTAAAGACAAGTGGGGAAAAACACCTTCTTCCTTTCCTTTCTTTTTGTCCTTATAGTCAGTCAAAATCGTCCGTTCGTCAGTCGGTAGATTGGTCTGTCTGTCCTGGTTGTTGATGAGGTGCTCGTGAAAAAAACAAATCTCAAGGGAAGGCATACAATGCATTTGGAATTTTTAAGTTCCCATCTGTACATCGCCGGGCACCACTAGCGCCGCACTCGTCCAACTCTACACGGGTATCTCCTGGTACTTGAAATCGCAGAGCCCGTTCTTATCCTTGAGCTCGCCTAGCAACCAGTATGTCGTCTGTTTCCCCTTCCCCTGGGAAAAATAACGGGCAAAGATGCGGCCATGAAATGCATGAAAATTACATTCAAATCGACTTCCACGGAAGAGTTGGACAAAAACATCAGAACAGCAACCCTTGTTTGACGTCAAACCTCCCAACAGTAAGAAAACCAAAATACATACAAACTATCCATTGAAATCGATTTGATGTAGGGCGGACCATAGAAAAAACAAACATGAATACACACATTAAAAAAACCATTGGTCCGAAATTAAATTACAACAATAATATTCATTTTTTGGTCGGCGAAGAAAAGTCATGCAATCGGTCTCCAATAGAACGAACGGCCTTGAATGTGTCCTGATGTTATCAAGTAAAATTCTCTCCGCACGAGGAACAAAAAGATTGACATCGCATTTCATAGCTTTTTGCATTGTGAAGAAGCTCGTTTAAGCTGATGTTGTGACCTTAGGAACTCTTGTCTAAATTTCTGTCTTCCATTAGACATGTTTGTGCCTACTGGGGTAGGTAAAATGTTAGATTTTATATCTCATCATTGGCTTATCGATTGGCAAACTATGCTTCACGGAAACAATGCTGGTTTTTTTCAACTTAACACTGCACGTGTGATGATGTTGTTCGGGAGAGGCTGTCCAAGTAAAGCCAGAATACGGGAAGGGAAATTAACATTTATCGATTCAAATTCGGCCCAAGACCCAGAGTAGGCGTCGTATGCATGAATGTCGGGATGACAATCTCTGCCAAAGATGACACACGGGTCAGTGACCGAGAGAGGGGCTCGTACATTCTCTTACCTTCATTTCAACTTCTCCCCGGAGCTCGATCACAAACGTGCCGAATAGGTCGAGGATCTTCTTGATCGAACTGCTGATGTGAATTTTCATGGCTGCAATCGAAAAAAAAAGCTTAAGTGAATGTGTACAATTCTTTATTGTGCAGCAGGTTATGCTCGTGGGATCCGTCTTGAGCAGAAGCACCCCATCATCGGTTAAAAAGAACCAAAGCGGTGGAGATTGTTCGTTTTGTTGGTGGCAAGGTATGCATTTCATAGTCGTTCATGAACCAGCGAAGTGTAGTTCCCACCAAAGGAGCTTCTGTTGCTCGGAAAATCGTGCCCTCTCTTGGTCCCGCTCGGGGCCCATGAGGTCTCATCACAAGACGTCAAGCATCACGTGACCACGTTTCCCCCGAGATCGGCCATCATTGAATTCTTTATCAAATATGTACTCCAATTTCCACGACTTGTGCAACTTGTACAGTTGTCGTGATAGTTCCGATCACTTATTGCCAGCGAACTCCGCGTTTCGTCTTTGTCCCCATTCATACAGCTTGGAGGGGCTTGCCTGCTATGTAAATACTTTGTATGATTCGCCGACAACAATGGGGGATATTCATCGGGTCACGTGGGTCAGTGAGAGCACCCGATTCGAATCCCTGGCAGTGTGAATCTGCAGCGTTACTTGACACATCACGAGTCCCTTGTTTTGTCTGGGGAACTAAAAATGAGCGAAACAGTCGTGATTCATTGTAGCTCACCGCATACTTAACAGGGCTCCCTCTGTTGACAGACCGTGCCTGAGAGAGAGGGGAGGCAGAGCAATCAAAATAATCATAATGAAGTTGTCAAGCTCCCTACAACCTGCCGGAAACCGAGAACAGGTGACAGAGGGACTAGCCCGACGCCGCGGGGCGTTGGGGGGCAAACTTAATGCTTGACGGCCTTGGATTGCCTGGCAATGACCGCCAAATAGCCCAATTTGGGGTGCGTGCATCTGCCAACGTATCCTGCCGGTGAAATTGGACTTTGACTGCCGGCAGAACAGGGCCGTTAAGCAAGCTGGCCGCACCTAGCCGGGCGTGACACTCAGCCGTTTTACCGGCGGGGTACGTACTTGCTGAACACAGCTCCCCCGGTGCGTCGGTTTCCACCCTGTTGACCAATTTCAAGATCTCATCTTAAAAGTCACGTATGTGACATTTCAGTTCTGGACTGAGAACCTTAATTGCGTTTGCTGTAAAAGTTGCATTTCAATCGTTCAGGAAATTATACGAGAGGGGTGTGACAGTTAAAACAAGAGGAAGAAAAAATGGGGGGGGGGATTACAAGTTCAGAGGCGGTACAAACATTCTCCCAGGCACGCACAGCAAACATGAACACGTGGATATGTGGATACGAAATACCAGACTATGGCAAGGAGAGAATTGCGCACTGATGGATGTAGCGAACTCCACGAGCGCACAGGACAAACGGAGGGGGCGGAATGGGGCGGTGATATCTATTACTCCAATTTTAACGGTATTTGTGGAAGATGTCGATTTGTTTATTGATATTTTTGTGGTGGGGATAGGGTGTAAACCAGTGCCTCATTGCTCTTATGAGGTTGATCTGAGTCACGTCCATGAAGAAGATAAATTCAAAATCCGAACAAACTACGAAGGCACCAAGTAACACCATTGTACACAACATAATGTAAGTCGTTTTAATAGCCCAATAACTCAATCTGACATTTCACAGACTTTCTTTCTGGCACTAGCGCATGGCAAGGCATGATCGATGTTGACGGAAATAGGACAATCCATGCGTAAATTGCCGTCAGCCGTTACGTTTTTCACCTTGGATGCAGCTGTCACTAGAGCGTCAGAATTTGGACTTCCATTTTTGTTTCAGAATTATCAACAAGGTCAAATCAGAAATCGGTGGTTCGAGGGCCTGGCGCCCACTAAAGTTGCATGGAACTTGCTTTTTTGATCTAACAATGTTAAAAAGTTGGTTACACTTTTTAAGTACATTACCTTCGCCATTGGATTCCATTCTGGACGCCGTGTTGACAGTGTCTCCAAACAGGCAGTAGCGTGGCATCTTCAGTCCCACAACGCCCGCTACCACTGGGCCTAAAATTTGCAAACATAAACACAAAAGTATTAAAAGACTGAACCAAAACTTGAAGAACAAAAGTTTTCAACAATCTCTTTCAAATGGTCGGGAATGAAATAGCGAAACTTGCATATCAGATTGCAAAAGAGTACTTGGAAAAGCACTTCAACAGAAAACTGTAATTACGTGCATATTAAATAAATAGGCGTTTCTCACGATGACACAGGAAATGTATAAACCAAATCTAATAGTCGAATACAGACGATTCAGCTGTAGTTGTAAAAAGACATGTGCACGTCATTCTAAAGTTTGGTCTGTGATGCATAAACGCTAGATTTCTATATAAATAATGTCGAATCGAATGCTGTACAGACACAGTTCCATGAGTTTATACACCATACAGGCAATGAGGTATCTATACACCTCGTTACATAAGACCCACAATCCGTCCGCAACAACTTCCCCCATCTTAATAAGTTGAATATCGTCAACTATCCGCTCCGAGCAGAACAAAAGAGGGCTTTTTGTTTTGGTACTCAATGCATAGGCGCGCCATGAGGCGCGAGTATATGCGCGTTTGCTGCGGAGCACGCCGAGTACGGGTAACTAATTTATTCCGGCATGTATGGTCTTTGCGTTCACGCAGAACGCTTGCAAGAACCCGCTTGTAATCACCTGTCTTTCTTTCGCCGATTGGGGGTGCACTTCAGCTCGGGGCGGATATCCTTTGGCTAAAATACTGAGTGCATACATTCTCTGTCAGACTCCCCAAACGAGTAACGATTCTACTGGAATGTACAAGCAATAGAGAAAGTTTTCTTGCACATTTTTTTCTCCTCCACCTTTTACTCACAGTGTAGTCCTTGATAGTTTTGTTTAGATTGTTGAAGATCGAGGGTTGCAGATAAGGCTCACCTGAGTGTAGGCCGATTCGAAGCATCAGTGTCCTGTCCGGCTTATGCCTGATCTTGAAGGTTTTGATGGCACTCAACAACGCCAAGGACATTCTAGCCACCTCACGGGCGTGAAAGTCGCCATTACGCACGGGTAGGCCCGATGCCACCATATAAGCGTCGCCTATTGTCTCTACCTGTGGGGGGCGAACCAAAAGAAGAGGTCGACAAAATGCGTCTTCTGAACGGAGAGGATTTTTCTGTTAGTATTGGAACTTCTTCGTGCTGCGTCGAACAAGACTCGACGCGGGGATATTTCTGTAGCATCTTGTCGATAAAAACACCAACCGAAATTCTATTGGATTTAAAATTACTCCATTTTTTCTGTTTCTGGATACTTTTGGATACAGAAGGTTGTTTAGAATACTCGATGGGGCTAAGGTTCACGCTACTAAAGAAACAAAACCGAAGCTTTTTACGACTTTCCTTTCCCTAATGTGTTTCGTTCGCTATATCGTATTGTGACACGACAAAGTACGGGACCAGAGGACAGTCATATCTCCACGGGTTTCTAGCTTATCATGTGTCAAATGCATGCAACCTCTTACAATGTGACAAACCGAAGCAATATTTGTCCATCAACAGATCGAGACAAAAATAAGTGGCACTGTCGAAAGTGACCGAGCAAGATTCAATTTCAGCGGGATCTGCATGTATGTTATTTTGACAGGTGAATGCACCGTCCTCTAAGCGGGTTGTGTCTAGATTTTTTTTTTAAATTCTGTATGTTTTTCTCATAGCTGGGAGAAGGTATTTATTCAAGGCAAGAGTTGATAAAGTGTATTGACTCGAGGGAGGCCGAACCCCGACCGCACAGGACACTGCATATCGATAGTGATATTTCAGAAATCTCGCGTGTAAGATGATCTATTCTCTGTTGACATGGAAAGTACAGATTTCAACACGTAGACAAAGCCCAAATATTATTTTTTGAATGGCTGTTGAGGATTTATGTACTTTCGAGCAGGCGTAATGGGAGCAGAAAGTGGAATCTTATCGATTGCAGAAACAGTTATCATCGTTGTCCAATCTATTTCTGTCTGCTCTGGTCAAGGGTGCTCTGACAAGCCTGTGACTGAAATAAGCGACAAGCAACGACATATAAAACAATTAAAACACATTGAAATAACAGATGCACAAATAAATCTCTTTCTTGGTACGAAGACGCCGACAGAAACAGCACTTGACTGTATAAGCTCTAGAGGTTGAATCAAAACTAGTGGAGCAGGCATACATTCTAAGATTCCAGACAACTTGTGCTGCTGCGCTGTAGGACGGCTGGATATTTTTCAAAATGTGCAGGAAGGTGAAAGAAGTGATCTTTTCGAGTCAGGCTGTCATCGACTTAAGTCGAAATCCCTCTTAGTATCGATACCGTATGTGCACAGTGACCAGCCTCCGTATGGTAACCTCATCTTCCAACACTGGTCTCAATGAAGCGTCTCCATTGCACCTCGCCGCCGGCCTACCTCAATCAATTATTCGTGCACGCAAGATCGGGATCATTATCGATTCCGCTGGGATCTACAGGCTGTGATATGAGGCGGGCCAGTGCAGATCCGGAACTACTGCATAGAATCGAGGGTCCAGGTGTTGGTTAATTAATACCCCCAAATCGGGGAATGCCTTCTAATATGGAGGGGATGATACCTTGGCCAGCTTTTTCTCCCATCATGTGTGCAAGTGATGCTCCATGCAATTCCCATGTGCCTGAGAATGAAATTCATGGGGGATTTCTAGACAACGATTCGATCAGGATCGTCAGCCTCGGCCCACACCCGTCCGCCAAGCCCACAAGCAGTTACTTGATAATGAAGTAACTTAATCTACAATACGGTGCGCTGACGATCCTCTCTCTTTCTCATTCTTTTGGCGCAGACGCAATCCAATACGGGGAAGGACACTCGGGCACTGGGTATCACCAAGTGTTGCTGAACTGAATTGATTACAACTGTCCTAATTGTACACCTGTGCCCTCCGAAGTCCGTGGACAGCTTAAAAAGTCCAAATCTTGAAGAACGCAAAAGTCACTGACAAAAAAACAAGTTCCATTCACAAGAATCGTCCAGGCAACGAACGGCACAAATGCAATTTCCACCTCATAAATAATCAGAATTGATTGTGTCCAAGCTGGCAGTTTGATAATGTGTCTTTAATGACAATCAAGCTGTTGTTATTATTAAACGGACACTTTCCATGATGTATTATGACAAGTATCTGTTGTATCATTTTCGAAGATCCATGACTACAATTTGCTTTGTTTGGTCTTTAAATGACTGATATCAGAAATCCTGCTGGACCAAACAGCACGAATCAAATCGTTGCTCTTTCACTGAAGTCATTTTTTTATCTTGTTCACTGAATCAGTCATATTCAATGTAATCTGTCATGGAGTGGTGCCAGACTATTTTGCATTCCAAACCTAACTTTCGTTTTTTTAAAAATGTGGCTTAAAACACTTAGTAATTACTTATCATAAATTTTAAATTATTCTAAACGTAAATTGGCATGAATTTGCAAATGAAACCTTTATTTCGTTGCAGTTATTTTTATTCGCAAGCTCCACGAATGAAAAGCTTCGATTCAAGGTGGCCGACACATGAATACTGAATTGTGTGCAGAAATTAGGCACAAGTTCCCATTGAGTGCTGTGTAATTTCAAGCCGGAGTCCTGTGATTCGGACGCGGTCGTAAGTCAAAGTCTCACCTTGTACACGTCATAGTTGTTGACGATGGAATCGAAGCAGGTGTAGAGGTCATTCAGTAAATCCACGACCTACGGGACATGTTAGTATAAAGTAGATAGTGAGACTACGTAACACAGCAAACGACAACATGATCATGATTTCACAATTTATTTAAATGAAAAACAAGGCAAATTACTGGTGTAAATGGGGAGAAATTTTAATAAATGACAACGAATGCAGATGTAAAAGAACTGAAAAACTGAAGTTTTCTTTGTTTCCAAAGCTGCGGGAAAACAGAACTGAGGGAAATGGTTCTGGGTAAAAAAAATTGAACTGGTGAACTCTTACATCTTCCTGACCACGTTTCCCGAGTTAATGGTGCACTATATCATACAAGGCACCTGCCTTTGCAATGTGTACAAGTCTCGTATATACAGGTCTTGCAAATAAATGCACACCGACGGATCAAGAACAGAGTGGCTTTCTACAGACTTGCTTTGGTCAAATTACAGCACAGCCCGTGGGAAACGTGGCCGTGCCCCGTTTCTTCCAGGGACCGGGAGAGTGTGTGGAGTCGAGGACACTCCTCTGATGCTGTACCTGGAGTGGGGTGCTTTCTGAGGAGAGACTTGTGAAGCCCACGATGTCACTGAAGTAGATAGTGACACACTCGAAGGACTCGGCTGTTACTGGCTTGCCCTTCTTCAACTCTTCAGCCACCGGCCTAGACGAAAACCCAAATACATGGGTTTAGTGTTAAGCTAAACAGCACTATAAGGAAGCTTCCGAAAGGTTGCAAACAGATGACCGCAGAAATAAAATGGACTAACCTCGAGTATTTATATTCAACTACGTCGAACGCAACCCGCATATCAGTTAACAATACTTGCCCCTTGAAAACTTGAAAATTGCCACTTAAAAACTGCAATAAACAGAAATTTCATGAGCTTTTTGTCACAATATTTTAGGTCTGTAACAAGTGGAAAAAATATTTAAACAACTGTTTGACCAATGTGAGCGTTGTGCATATTTACATTCGTAAAAGATCCGGATTTTTTTCCCAAGTCCGATCTCTTGCTACGGCACCCGTGAATAAACAAAATGAATGGTTCCCTCGGGCAAGAGTATTTTGACAGTAAATGAAGCCTGTTTTGACCGATTGCTGGATTCGAATTGGCTCGAGGGAGTCTCTTTTGTGACATGCATCGGGATCGCTCCATTCAGACCAAGTCACAAACAGACGGGGAAAAGTGTCAAGCTTTTGTCAATCTCCTGAGAATTGTCTTATCGAGATCTTGCAATTCCAATAGGGGCAACACTGTAAACACACTCTTAAAAGTGAATGAAGAGCACCCGAAGCGGTTTCTTTACACCACGGGTCAGAAAAAAGGTCGGTTACACTCAAACAATGAATGCAGACATTTATAAAGCGGAAATCTAAAATTGAAACCTTTAATTTCAATGTAAGCAAACCAGGCCTCTACCCTGGCCCAGGGCGACCGTGGTTTCATACCGCGACTGTGTTCTGGAATTCCGCTGGCCCCGTCTATTATCTTTTCGTCATTCGAGGGAGGGGAATCGTGAAAGCCACACTACCCGGTTCTCAGGTGAATCTCGGTTAAAAAATGATGATGTAACGAATCTCCCACCGGCAAGGCAGACGAGGATAAACATCGCTGCATGATGAGATGCACGGGAATTGTCCGACCGTCAGTACCGTCCGATTCTTCATTTTAGAACGGCCTTCCCAGTGAGAAATATTGAATTTCAATGCAGCCAAATTTAGTCTCTGTTCGGCGAGACAAAGGACGAATATATGTATATATGGAAGTCTCCATTTTGTATTGTGGAACCGACCACAATCTGGTCTGGCAAATCACTGGTGTGTAACAGTATTACTCCCCCCCCAAAAAAAAAAATTCCAACAAAACACGAGTTCCGTAGTGAAGTCTGAGACTTTTCAGAGAGCCATACCTCCTCAGGACAAACTCCTCCCAGATAGTTGCACAAAAACCACTTCTCGGGTTATAATCAATGATTCTGTCTAATTAAATTCCATTTCGGTATAAAAGTGGAAAGAAATGGAACGACGACAGCCAACAACACACGGATCAGGTGAGGGAAATTCTACGCTCGTTTTTTGTTACGCAGCAATATGGATTTTTCTATGAAAAAAAAAGAGAAGAAACAAAGAAAAGAAAAGAGGGCCCAACCATGGGTCTTCTACTGACTGTAAACACAACTGTGTGCTAGGTGAAACGGGAGAAATATGACCGTCTGTGGAAGCGGGGATAAAGCCCGAGGCTTGGGAAGTGGGAGGTAATTTGAAGAGACTGCAGGCTACCTGGGTAGGATCTGATACAGCAGCTCCTCTGCTTTCCGCTTCTCTTCGTAAAATGCCTCGGTCCGCTCCAGCACCAACGCCTCCAGGTTAGTGGCATACTGCTCCATGCGAGACAGAAGATTGTCCACCAGGCTGCGACCTTCATTTTGCCTGATGTAAGGTAAAGCAGAAAACAGTGAATCTGTTACATAATGGTTACATTGAGTTTGGCGAACTTCATCAGTTCTGCTTCAAAATAACCGAACACGTAAGACAAATTCAATACCACCACCGTGGGAGGATGACCTCACCGCAAAATTACCCGTTTCAAAAGAGGGTAAAGATTCTTTACTAATAACAAATGACACAAAGCTTCTGAACAGAGAAACAAGTCACAAGTAAATATGTTTTAACGGCATGCAGTTCTTGCATGGAGACGTATTTGATGTTTAGCAAATTTGAGTGTGGGCATACGTAGTCACAGTCAGGGGCAAAGAATGTCACTGTTCAGTCCTGATGAACCCCATTGAAAAGGCGGTATATGCTGTCCTAGAGACAAATATAAAGTTTTACTCCACCTACGATTCCCTACACATTAACGGTCTCAATTTATCCGGGGGCTGTTCCACTTAAGTCGATTTTAATAAAATCCAGCGCCATGCACGAGTGAAATCCATTACAACCTGCGCAACGGCAACTCTGGTAAATTAATTAAGACTATGGTCTTGTGGTCAATTTCAGAACGCTGCTTAGCTCGCTTAGCTCGGACATTTACAAAGCGCAGAGAATAATCACGCTGCTAAAGCAGCGAGGTTACAAACCTTAAAGTTATAGCGTGTACAGTGCTCGTAACGGGTAACCCGCTAGCTTTTGCTTGTAGCACCCATGCTGAGTAAAGGTTTCTACAAAGCAGCTCTCAGAAGTTGGGTCTATGTATTTCTCAGGTGCACAGAATTCCGGAGGCATAGGCCTATGTAGTGGGCACAATACACTTCATTTTTACTAATTCAAGCCTGTTTTACGTATATGCAAAACCAGTGGGAACCAATGCTTTCCTCCGGCTAAGGTAGTGATATGTTTTTGCACGATGTATGACAAATACACAAAATTCTCACTGCAGAGAATGATCTGTATATTTAATAGTAGCAAAAATCCACGGACTGTATGTCACACACTATATGAAAAACAACAAGACAAATCAAACAATGAAATCAATACTAACATTAAGAGCCGATCTTGATGAAGATTTACTCATTGTTAAAACGTTGGGCCAAAAGGTTGGGCAATACAACTTCATCCAACAATTAGTCTTTGGCTACACTACTGTGGGTAACGCTGGGGGAAATTACCAAAATGTTGGCAATGAACAAAAACCCAACGGCGTCGACAGTTCATAGTGCGACCTTCTATTGCCCATTAAAAAATTGTTACAGTGGTGGGGACTTGATAAATGATATGAAACGACGGATGACTTGGCTTGGCTTCGTTCTGGTGAGTATTATCGATAGAACTGGGAGAGGGGGCAGGTGAACTCGTGGGGAGGGGACTTGTAGAGCTCAAAAAAGCTGGGGGATCTGAGGGATCTTGACTATGGACTTAACGCATGGACTTAAAGTAAGGCATGGAGAATGAAATTCACGTGGCTGTGTCCAAGCCACTGACTCCACAACAGCGTATCAAAGAGGAATATTTCAAATTCTGTGAATTTGCAGCATTAGTCCAAAGAATTCTTCCTTCGAACGTAGACTTTCATTTTATTCTGACTCGCGTCACCGGACGTGTCAAGGACAATATGCTAAACTTTACTTAACCATTATTTGATGGAATCAAATCAATCGCAAATCATTTATTATTTGTAAAGATTTTGAATTCACTCTGCTAAATTTATCGAACACACTGCAAAAGAAATGGTGCTTGCCTTAGCAGAATCTTTAAACAGATGTAAATACAGAAAGAACTTCTTTTGAATGGATATTGGCTACAATTAGGATATGCACGAACCCATTTACTCCTTGGAAACATAGTCCAATCTACATTGTTTGCAAGAAAGGAGCCCGATAATGACACTGACCTATCACGATTCGGTCAAAACTTCGAGACAAGAATAGATACCTATAGGCGTAAAGGTAAGACAAACGTAATTAACGTATCATCAAACTCACACAGAGCAGGAGAGGGATAAAATGATGAGTATGGTAGGTTATGCAGGGGAAGGATGCATGTTAAAGACAGTCAAACAGAGAAGCTAGATGCCGCTAAGTACTGTCTGTATAGGTCACTGGCCACTGAAGTTATCAGCTCCTTCCAGATGCAGAGGATTGGTTGGTTGCAAGTTCTGCTACTCACTGCCCACACGCACTGCGGACCGACCCACACGTTTCTTAGAAATGTGTGACCTAATTCTGGGGAAGGCAGGATTTCGAAAAAAATGGGGTGTGGGCATAAATTCACCCTATTACATATTCAAAACATTTCAAGATTCTTTGACAAATTCCTAAAAATTCGTCAGCTGATGACGCACTGTATTTAAGTCGAAGAAACTTTGATCGAGGAAAAAGGACCAGAGGTAGTTTGATGGATTATATATGAATGTCTTTTGACCATCATACTTCACCAACGTCATTCTTCCAATCAACTCTAATTTATAACTCGGATTGATGCAAGCGTACAAGCTGATTAGCGAGATTTGCACCGACCGGAACCATACATCGTGGAGCCACAGTGATTTATGGGATTTCCGCAATGGTTTGCTTAGAAAGTGAAACTGGTATAATGAAGGCAGGCGGTAAACAACATTTTGTTTGAATTTTTGAAGGGGGCAAAATAGCATTTCTGTAACCGTTGACCAAGGAGGTCAGGTCCAATTTTAGCCACGCAGAAATGTTTTTGTTGTGATAACTGGACAGTGGGCGACACTTAATCATCCAATATCTCAGGCGACCGTGGAATTTGCGACAGTCAGAGCTGCAGTACCACTTGAGTTATGCCTGAATGAACGGCATTTGTTGGGCCATTCAGCGTGCGGCGCCCGATAAATCAAGGGCGTTTTCGCTCGTTTAACCGACGGAGAAGCACCGTTAATTTACGCTAGGTTTACTCGACTTTGCACCTGCGTTTCCATAACAATTTACAATATTTGAAATCCTCCACAATTTCCGAGTCCAACACCCCTCCGATTTGCCCATCCCGTGAAAGCAGCGACAAGATTGACGAGGTCCATAAATCCGGGAAATTTGGGCTGTCATTCGCAGCGCAGTCTCGTCGGCAGTTGTTGTGCCGTACTAATCGACTTTTATTACAACGCCATCTGGCCGAAATCTATAAAATTGCATATTCGGTTAATTTGCAGGGCCGTGAATCACGCCAACGCCGACAGTTTAACGAGGAGGCTGCTGTTTTAATCTCGAGGAACCAATGACAACGAGGCAATTGCTACGGCCGCTAATCAAAATCCACGTGCGGCATTGAAGTTGCCAAACCTCCGTGAATTTGACGGCGCAGAGAAATTACGTGCCAATTTGAATGGAAGAAACACAAACACCGTCAACGATGGTTGAAACATAAGGCAGGTTGACGCATTTCAACCTATGCAGTTTCCCAGCACAGTTTACTTGGCGTTTAGATTTGACTACATTTATTACATGCAATAGAGGTTTTTAATGGCTGAAAGTTATGATATTATTTCGGCCCCATTAAAAAAAAACCAAACCACCCACGATCATTTTGTGTCCAATCTGTTTCACACGCACATGATGAATGACTGGCAATGATATTGAGAAACAAATCGAGACAAAGTCTCACTTTCAAAATGAAGAAATTCTGCGACAGATGTTACTCCACCATCTGAATCACAGCCTACATGACACATAAATATGTATATTACTTAGTACAGACCCCTCTAATATTGCCTATTATATTAGTGGCAAAATGTTACAAAATATCACCGTTTGTTTGTGTCTCAAAACAGGACCGTGACGCAGGCAGACCAGACCGTATGCATATTGCTATTTTGCATGACTGACATTGAACCATCATGAAGAGTTTGGTGCCTGGCACATTTCATGCAGTCGCTTAGTGGCAGATAGGTGTTGTTAATGAGCTTCCGCATCCTCGTTTGGTTTCCATGCATCAGGACGAACAGACAGCTGGAAAGAAAAGTGCACTCCCCTCGCGACATGAGCCGAGCGCGAAAGGGCACAGGGTGGTTTCTGCTGTAATAGTCCAGGCGACCACCTGACCGCGTAATCAGACATGACTACTGAATACTCCCGTATAAACGTTTCGGTCGCTTACCGATCCTGTTTTAAAGCCGTCGAAGACCTCTGCATTATACAGGTCGCTGCCAACACGCGCTGCCATTTTTCTACCGGGGAAAAAATTCAAATGCTCATGATAATTACCCCTACTGTTAATTAATGCTAGGGGTGTTATGCATCGCTTTTGCGTTCAACATCGATGACAGATCCATTTTGCATGTACTGCAGGGAGGCCGGGAGCCGCCGATTGACGCATACACTTCTCAACTCAAGCAGACGGGAGCAGCGCGGTAACCCGTCACCGACCGTACCCGACGCCGCATGAGCCTTCCGTGTTTTTACGGGTATTAACCGGTTCACATCGGGCAGCAACCCTAAATCCCTGTCCCGGTAAATTCCGTCAGGGCTGGGGCATTTGCCGAAATTGCTTCCGCGGGCGGAAAATCTGACAGAGCGCTGCACATTCATTAGAGCGAATTAAGACTGCAGATAATGCGTCGGAAGGCAGGTTGCACGAATTATCAAGATACTAAGCCCCTAGAAAAAGACCAAAATAAAGAAACAGACGCACAAAAAATGTAAATCAAATAAAAAAAGAAGCAAAAATGAAGTACCTAGAGGTCATCATTTAGGTATCTGATGGTTTTATACGTGAATTGAAAATAGTAAACACTGTCGGCATCGGCAGTAAAAGTAAGCCGTTCGATGAAGTCTTTGTTACAGTGTTCACAGTAAGGTTTATGCCGAATTCCTGTCGTGTAAATAGCTTTGGATAAGGATTCAAACGAAGATAAAGTGATCTGTCATTTTAATGAGTTTGTCCAATATCAATTCAGTCTTAGCCTATACTAAGAGGAAAAATGTGAATCGTGAGATTGGCTAAGGCGGATTACATCAAAAAGAGTGAAGCCATGGATCTGAATCCATCTTCTCGTTAAGAGTAATCGTGGGCAACCGAACGGTACCATGTAGATGCGTGTACGGGCAAGTACATAAACAAACATGAGAGCGCGAAAGTAAACCGGTAGACGGAAAAGGACACGTATAACGGCGTGCGCCATGTGCATATTATGCCCAGAACGCGTGTAGTACGTATTTTTACGCGTCCTCAGCATAATATGCGTTGGATGCCCGTCGTTGAATGTGCCCTCCGTTTACGTCTACCAAGTAAACCCGACCGCATGCGGTTTCTAGCGCCCCCATCCGGCCACCCAAGCGGGCAATTCCATCAGATTTGTAACATTACGACCCGTACTCCCATCCTTGGTCTCTATGCTCGATCTCTGCATACATCGCGTTGAAATGCCGAACAGTTTTTAGATATCATGCCCTCTTTTTCACGATCTCATGTCATATCTGGCACACTGAACTGACGTCATTATTCTGTCCATCACGGCTCCACTGTTTCACGGCTTCAGACACACAGCGCACATTTTAAAGAGTGACTATGTTCTATGTGACAAATGACTGACTTTGACACGGTCATTTGAATTCCCATTGCTTCCCTTCACCTTGATTCGAGAGCATATCAATGCATGAAACTTGCACTGTCGGAAAAAATCGATATCAGCTAGATGAGCGTCATGCATGGGATCTTTCTGTTTTTGACGATAACACATTACAGGAGTACAAATGATTTTCCGACGTTGAAATTCGTTTCACTCCCAGGAGTGCGTGCGATAAAATTACTTCGCGTTCATAATCCTCTACAATTTAAATATAATAGAATGCACCACTCTTTATGGATATGTCCACAAATTCAACACCAAGGCACCGTTACCAAACTATAAGCAAAGCTGCAATACAGTAGTCCTATTGCACGCCCCTAAAACATTTGCACGTGTTCAAAGTGTTAAAAATAGCAACAGCAAAAAAGTCAGGCAATCTAAAGTGACAGAGCCTTAAATATGCAGTCAAGATTTCTTCGGACTAGAAGCCATTTTGGCTCCGACGTCCGTCATCCCAAATTGTATCTGTCGTTAGTCACGTCAACTCGAGTCACTACATATTACAACCATTTTCTGATTGCTTATAGCAACCCCACGTAAGACAACCCATGAGTTTGGAAACAAAATGGCACCACACAACATCATATAGCCCATGTCGCCCGTTCAGAGCCCCCTGATGATACCTACTTGTTCAGCTTTCTCATGATGATTCTGAGCTGGCTGAAGTCCGGTCTGTCGGTGGGCTCCTCTGCCCAGCAGCGGTTGCACAAACTGCAGATCTCGTCCGGGCAGGTGGAGCGGTCCAAGGTCGGCCGGAATGTCGGCTTGTTTCCCTGCTTGACCTTGTGTATGATTTCTACAAGGTGGTAAAGAAAAACGAACGAATTCAAGAAACGTTTAGTGTGTTGGCCAATGCGTAATCCATTCTTTTAGTGGAATAATTTTGGTGAAAGTTTGTGAAAAAAAAACCTATAAAACGCTATACCTTGTCAAGGGCCGATCCTGAACCAAAGTTTCAGGGAAGGGGATTAAACATTTTGGGAACCAAAAAATTTGGAATTTTTTTTCATGTAACCAGGAAATGCACTAGACAACCAAAAGCCTTTCTCTAATTAATCACAAACGTTGACTCTCTTTTTATGACAGGGGTATGGCCCCAGTTGGCTGCCTCCCCGGATCGGCCCTTGTAGTTGTTACTTCGTGGTGAGAAAATAAAAGCAGGACAATAAGAATGAAGATACACGTTTGAAACAAGCACAGGTAACTATAAAACAATACCTCATAGTTCTCATTCTTATTCAAATTATCATTTTTTTGAAGAACAGGTGGAAAAATATAAGCCAACATTCAGATTATGTAATAAAGCAAACCAACGATTAAAGGTTAGTATTTCTTCACACAAGCGGCTTCCAAAACCACTTAAAGATGCAATAGTAAAACTCGCTCAAAACATTTTCTTTGTCCTTTAAAAACGAACTTGGCTAACAGGCTATTTGTGTTGTCATTTTCCTCGCGACTCAGCTACGGTGTTTTAATAGTTTGAAAGTCAACTATTTTGGGCATCTCGACGTGGCCGTATATGGACGCCGGAAACGAGCTACAACATGTGACAAATGGCGTCCGATGACTCCACCGATTTAAGCCGACGAACATAGCGGTATTATTGGTGTCCCACACAGCCATCCATCTTCATGTAATAAAAAAATCGTCGGCCGAAGCATCTATCTTTGTATCGAACTGCTCCTCTAAATCAACCCCTGACATAACACGGGCATACGCCGTCTCAGCAATGCCGAAAGAGCGATAAATTATGCCAATTTAGGAGTGTGGGCGAGTTTCAATGGCCGCGATTACCAGATGAATCTGTGTCAACGGTGGTTGACCCACATCTCGCAGATGTGTGTCTTGTTTAGTGTCAGTCTGAAAGTAGGTTAGCCCAGTGACGTTGGGGCCGGGGACCAGCGCATCTCTTGCCAATTTTGCACTCTCCTTCCATTTACCATGGTTGCACCTCTCTCACCCACACCTTAAACAGAAAACCAAGGGGGGGGGGTTGTTCTTAAAAAGAATTTAAAAAAATACTCCAATATTAATACGCTAACAGTTTTTACGCTCGAATCATCCACTGGCATATGCATAACTATGACGCTCTTGCTGTATTGATCGTATATAGTCGACGTACATGTACACTCGGTGCATGGCCACATGCTGTTGCTGCACGTTAAAACGGTTGGGAATTTCTTTCTAAACCATGCGACAAACATGAAGTGAAGACCCAAATAAGTTAATGATCATACCTAATGGACGAGATCAAGGGTTCTTTGCTTCAATGTTCCACACGAGGTGAAAAAGGTGTATTGGGAAAAACCTTGAATGTCACAGACTCCCCCCCCCAATTTATACGACGCCACGAACATTAATGTTTAGGTATAGAACGGCGCGCGGCGGCGCGGTATGGCTTACCGCCCCGTGCAAACAGCACTTGAAAACCAATTCGTATACTGCTCCCCCCGACACTGGGCTCATCGACTATTCACACTTGGCTGTCCTTTCATCAAGAGCAGCGTGCCGGAGCGATTGAGTTACCGGCGACATTGCGTATACACTCCGTCAGCTAAGACCGACACATATACACCTTATACAGAGCGACCGTCCCCCACTGGGACTGTACAATTTACAGTTCCGGCGCGCATGACTGCAGCCATATAACCCAAACTCCGGTATGTTTTTCCAGCACGATCTAGGGCAAATGTGTGAAAATACGCTGTAGCTGTGACGTTCTTGAATAACATTCTAATAAAAAATAATTCCGCGGGCGGGGCTACAGCCTGCATAAAAGGGGAGAAACAGAGGAACTGATCCCCCTCAGCCCTGGGGGAGTGAATGATGCTTTCCTCGAGGCTCCACGCATGAATTGCGTACGGCTGCAGAGGGGGGTTCACGGACGAACTATATTATTGGTAGAGAAGATAATCACTGAGTGCGGTATAGAAGGCATCCCACAATGTAATCGGTTCGATAATCGAATTTTCCCCAGCAAAACCCGACTGGTGCACCGGTCAGGGCCATACACCTGTCCTGATCGATAAATTGGAGACCCGTCCACCAGAGGGCATCAGGTGCACGGTGCTGGGTGGTATCGATTATCATGACGCCCGAACGAGATTGCGCATTCCCGGGGTTCACTGATCAAGACATTATATACACACCCCTGTGAGACTGTTGAGAAAAGCCAAGATTGATGGAAATCCAACCCATGACCAATAAACTCGCAAAACAGTCCACTAGTACCATCTGTAATACTGGTCACTTAAATTTGGTTAAAGTGAAGAGGACAAATAATGCATTCAAAGAGTTAATGCGTGCATGGAATCTCTACTAATGCACCCCTCTGGGTCTCAGAATTTATAAATCAAAAGCAAATTCCCAATTGATGGAACAATGCCGTCAGATAACAAAACGTTCGGCGTTTCTTTTTCGCCTATAAGACCAAACTAATCGAATTTCACTCAAATGGAATCATAAAGCTCAGTTTACATTGCGAAGTCCTCTTGCCTCCCACAAATACGGTAAAGGGGGCGAACTAGTTTTTATCAGAATCCACAGTAATAAAAATAATCTGACAACATATGAAACCAATGCGATCGATTTCATCACAGGAACCCACAGTGGGAAGGCCTAAGCGCCCGAGGCACCCCGGCAGAGTAAATATAGCTGGATAAAACTCGCTGCGAACACAATTACCCGGAACACCCGAGAGTGCAATTACACGGAGATGCCCATACCTTTGGGGGATAGGTCCACGTTGGCCACATAGAAGACGCTTTCTCTGTAGATGACCTCTTGCACGATAATACCAAAGCTGTACACGTCGGCCTTTTGGGTACCCCCTAGGGGCATTTCGGGCAGACGGAGCAGCTCCGGTGCAGACCATAACCTCTCTGGAAGAAAGTGAAAAGAAAAGTCGTCAGAAAAATGATATAGTCCTTATGACGCTGTTACATATTTCGCACAGAGCAGAGTATATAAAACCTGTTCATTGTTTACCACTATTATGGATTCTTTCCCACCTTCATTTTGTTCAAAGACCGTTGCTGCTAATCAAATGTCAAACTCCAGATTTGCGTAGACTGACTTCAATAAAGGGTCCCGCCGACCGTATTCAATGCCCTTAATATTTTTTAGCAATGTTCAGTAAGAGGAAAGTACACGTACAAGTAGATGTACATAGTTTCACAGTTACTGTGGACGAATCCATCGACGTTTCTCTGGACATTGCTCATGGCGGATTAGCCCCCCTCAAACATTGTGTTGGGTTTCGTATGAAGCGACTGTCATGGAACATCGCCTCCGAACAAAAGCTGTCACAATACTTGCTGCCATTAAAGGGGGCCACTGCAAAAGACCAGTGACGGCGTTCCTAAGGTCTCTGGATTTGTTTAAACAAAAATGGTCGCAACACTACAATAGGATGTTATAATTTCTGCAGACTTAAGTTGGTAATTATAACTAAAATAGTTCAACATGGCTGTGGAAGTTTTAGTTCGCATGCTTATTATGACAGTGATATCTGACGACATCGATGTAAGACAGATTGAAGCGCGTGTGGGATATCTAATGCAGGCATTCTTTATTGGTGGCCTGATACAACAGCAACAAAACGGGGCAGTGAAGCAACATGAAGATAGACACTACAGAAATACATCCAGACATTTCCTAGGGAGGCCACTCCAAACGTTTTGAAAAAATATTTGTGTCCGCACATGTAGATGTAGTGCAAGGTTTTACCCGTGGCGCCCTCATGCGTGCACGTGCAGGACCAGCGACCTCGATGGAAACGAGTGACTTTCTATCGCCGGGGTTTGTGTTGGCACGCACTGAACTGAGGAAGCAGGCTGTTCCTTAATGCAACAGCCGTATACAATGAATGGACGAGGAGAAAAGGGACGTTCCTTCCGAGGACTTCCAAGCTAACAACCCACAGGCCGTGTCCGACCCGATTTGCTGCCGCGACGGGAAGTCAAGATACGTGACTACAGGAGGTGGCTGGAACCACTGAGCAACGACTTCCACTGGTATCTGCGTTATTGCCGGCCGTAGCCAGACAGTGCAGACACGGCACAGGACAAATTCTCGACATTCTTTTATAAAAATGTTCAAATTCACTGCTTGATAGGTGTAAAGTATCCACCAGTTGGCAGTGCAAATACCATTTGCTTGGCCAAAAGTTTATATGCTGGAGATGTTTGAGTGATTTATGAATACGAGGTTCAAGGGGGCCCAGGTTTAAGAAAAAAAATTATATAAATTCATTAAACAGAACTTCGAAATTAAATGCACATTTTATAATTCAATTAAAATATATGCATTTTGCCACTTGCATTAATCAACACTTTGCCAAAAACACACCAAATGTGGACTGAATTAACTGTTGTATGGAGTAAATATGATTGGGACAAACATGTAGCACACAATAACACACACCCAATAAACTTGCTTAAGTTGAATTCATTCAAGATTCGTTTTCTATTTTATCTTTATAGGTGCCTTCCGAGTGGAGAATTGAATAGAAAGTTTACAGCGTTGCTACTTAGATAATTACATATTTAATACAATGGTGTATCGTTAACGTGATCGGTGGGTGGTCGGCTTTAAATAATTGTTCCCAGAAAAAAAGTGGGATTAAGGAGTGCCTCCGGGTTTTTTAGAATCAAATCTACAGTCCAATGCAATAGAGACGGAAAAAACTACCACAGTTTTCAAAATACATGTAACCCCTCTACGGATGACATTCTGTGGCCAAAGGGCTAGCAGTTGGGACTAAACACGTGCAAAATGCAGAGAATTCGTAACGGTCCTCACACTTCAATCTCTCTCCTGAGAAAACAAACAGGTGTCAATAAATAGTGTTTAATAGAAATCCATTTCAAAAGAAATGATTCGACTCAGCACCCAGTGGTGTAAATCCCTGCGGAGGGCTGGGGTTTTGGGATGACTTAATTATATCAAAAAGTTACCCGGCCGTGGATCGAAACGCCGGGTGGGGGATTGCTTGATCTTATGACACTGGGGGCGCTCTTCATGATAAATGTATATTTTCACCTTTTTTTGCCTTCGAGAAAGATTCTGCTAGGATTGAATCGTCAGGCCCTCCTTATTTTGTGATTTGTATTTTAGGTCACTCTACCCAGCAAGTAGTTTGCAGCAGTTTTGCATTAGGCCTACATATATTTTGGCCCCTCAACCTTTTCTCCAAACCGCACATTTAAAGCTTTTGTATTTGTTTTCTCCCTTTGAAGTACTATTGAATACATTTCCAATGTTGGGAAGTTCGAAATAACATCCAAATCTGTTTTTTTGCCCACCACAAAAAGTAGGTGTACGTACATGGGTGATACCCTATCCCCCAGGCCAGCAAATGTGTGGGGGGGATAGAGGCCTGTACCACCGCTGCCAGGATTCATGCCCCAGTAAGCAATCTGCAATTTTTTTTCCTACGATCAATATCTACACGGCATATTCAAATTTAAGCAGAGAAAAATGAGGTTGGGTTATGGCCGGCACACCATTTTTATATCTGGGTTTAAGGATGTGTCAAAGCTGAATTTCCCCCGTGGCCTGGCCGGCACATTTTGGTTATGTAGGTGTACTGCGCGTGCGATGGAAACTTTAATGACACCACACTTCATTATCTCTTGATTGAAACTGTGTTGGCCGTCAGCCTCAAACATGAAGTTAAAAAAACACTGTGGGCTAACTTTCCAGCCGAAAAGGCCCTCGAGGACGCACGAGGAAATGACGGGCTTCCTGAGATGAATGGTTGGCAGGTTCTTCTCGATTGTGTTAAAAACTGACGTCAAAACACAACCAAACCAAACGGGCGCCTCTGAATATGTATAATACACCATGTATCATCCAGCTAATTGCACTGACATGAGAAAAACCAAGTCAGACACAGCAGCAAGCAATTCTTACTCGCATACGCTCCTTTCACAATAAAATGAAGGCTTCAACCGTATCCCTCAATATGTACTACACGAGGGGATGACAATGTCAGACTCGTCGCACTAAATCGTGAAATCACTTCGCTTCAGATTCACTTCACACCTTCTTTTGCTAGCGTGTGCGAACAGAATGGACAAAATTGACAAACTCAATCGCTCAGCATTCCCTGTATTATTGTCATAACGCCTGATTAAAAAAAGGAAGAGATTTAATTTATTAATTCGCACCACTACGGCCTAGAGACCAAAGGTTCTCACATACAACTAGCATTATTTAATCTCGGGAACGCAAAACAACTGTACATTGAGTGATTTCTTCATTTTTAAAAAGTTCTACAGTTTAAGTAAGCTAAAGTGACTTTAAATTACACGTGGTCATAAAACAGCGGTGTGAGCACACGTGGCTTGGTTTACATTATCACGCCCGCTGAACAGCAAGCGCCGTCTGCATGGGTGAACTGACGGCTTGTCGACGGACGGTCAGACGGGAATGTCATCTGATATGCGGATCTCATCTGCTCTCCCCGAAGATTGAATTCTCCACGCAATTATGGAAAGAAAGGTTGAAACAACTTCAATGCCGTAGGGCCCTTAAGAAAATATGACCCAATCAGTCAGCACAGTACAGATAAAAAAGTGTAAGCGAATGGACTTCGGGAATGGCTTCACTCAGAGGCGTAATGGAAACTTGAAGCATCGTTATCATTGCTCAAGTCCAACCTTGCTTTGGGATGCCTTTTCAACGATACAATACCACCTTGTGCATGATACCCCGAGAAGCAGTTGCGACCAGCTCGTGCGATGGACCTTATTCAAGGGAAGCCATTTCTGATCGTGTTCTCTGAATCTATCTTATTATAACCTGTTAAATATAGTGTAGTAAGATTAATTTGCGTTCCAAGACTCACTGTCATTTTCTGTGACTTAAAACTTTGAGATACACCTTTCCATACGCGCGTCAACACTTGCGCCAAGCGTTGCGCATCCGTCAAAATCGCTCCCGGGGCGATTTTAAAGGCCAAACGCGACGCACAACTACGTACGTGTGTTATGTTAATGGAGTTGATTTTTGTGTCCATTAAAGTGAAACACAAGAAGGCATCGTGTACGCAATTCACTAAAAAAAAGTACATATGGAATGGCCTCTTTAATCGCAAATTTCAAATTATTCATTGGCGTAAATCGGTATTAATTTGTAATGTACTTTTATTTCATTGTTTTCATTTCTACCCAAGGATCCCTAATGATACGCTAACATAGCTTTCGGCTTAGTATGGGGAATAAGGTCATCACGCGCCAGCGCCAACTACAGTTCGGCTTTGAGTCCGATGAATTGAACAACAATGTAATGTTTCAAAACAAGACAAGAACAAGATGCAATGTTTCCAAACATTTTAGTGTGTTTCAACGGTGCTCATTGCAGCTCTCCTTTTGCAGAAAACAGGGAATTTATGCGCAGAATGGGTATGGACACTCAAATAATTATGAATGGCTCCGCCAACACTACTCCCGAATTTCTCGTGTTTTTGTCCACGAACAGTAAGTTATACATAATTGTTTTCTTCATCGATAAATGTAAAGTGACGCTAAAAGGAAATTAGCTCCCCCCCCCGTTCACGCGCGGGAAAAATCAATTCGGAAGTTACAGCTCGCGGACATTTCCGGCAATTGATTTGGACAAGATTACAACGGCTTCGGTCAGCCGATTAAGCACACCATGGGGATAGCCGGAGGCCTACTGATTAGAAGGGGATAGTTGGAAAAGAGGTCGTCCTTCTTTACAAATGTTGACAATTTGAGTTTTTTCCCAGCCTCTTAAGGAAAACGAAGGTATAGGATGCGCGAATGGTTTGGATTGGAAAGTTATCTTCCAGGCAAAAGCCCATAAAGTACTGTCTATGTGAGTGGTTGACGGGCGTGAAAGGTTATAAATACGT